GTTCTCCCAGAACAATCCAAAAAACCTGAATTTGTAGCATCCGAAACTGAAGACAGTAAAATGGAAAGAGGTGAGGTCCAATGAAAAGAGATGCAAGTACACCAAGCAATGGGCTGATTAAGTGCTAACATGTTTGTGGAGGCCGCATGTGTAGGCATGAGTGTGAATTTGTTCTGCTGTGGCCAACACTGAGAGGTTTGGATTAGAAATGCAGTGGGGTTGAAATAGGATACATACGTCAATCACGGCAATATACTGTACTGTCACAAGGGAAGGCCACACAGCATATTTGGGGGGGAGGAGAATACAACAACAATACCAGGACAGGAAAAATGATGAGGTAGAATCTTAATGGCCATTGTCCTTCAGTACCATTCTGCAAGAACATTTCGGGAGAGGGGACCTGGCACTCAGCAATCAACGAGCTACCACGGCTTTCACCAGAGGTGCTGTCAAGATGTAAGGCTTTCATTTCCTGCTTTGTTATTGGATCAGAGTGATTTTGGCCAGCAACAATGTTTGCTGGGTTGGAAAGACTTAGGCATTTGATTTTCTAGGAAGTGCACATGAGCTCATCAAAACGTGGGATGTTGCCAGTAATTCTGTGTTCTGGTAACTTGCAGCAGAATTTTGATTGGGATGTGGAAGGAAAGAACCATAGGAACAAGACATTTAATATTTCTGGGCAAATCATCCTCTCGTCAACTCGGGCACCCTGCCCAAACGATCGGCGTTTCCAGAGAAGGTATGCCCCATGCTAACGAAAGTAGATGGCTAATTGTGTGGCTTGGAGAGGGATTATAATACCCCAGTTTGGCCACATTTTTCAAACTGCGGTCCCTCTAAAATTCGGCTCCTAAATCCATATTTAGCCATCAAAATAAGTGACCTAGTTTTCAGAGAGGCTGATTGTCTGCCACTTGGTTTTCAACACCTGCATTTGAAAACAGTGGCCTACATACCTGGCCAAAAGTTTCACTAAGAGACACATAGAGCACTCATCACCTGACTTCCTCATTACTACACCCTACATACCTCGAAGGGGTCAGCCAGTATCCCTTACAGAGATTACAGCCTTGCTCTGTCTGGATCAAGTTCTTTTTGAGAAGGATGATCCAGGACCGGCGGCTGTAATACCACATTGGTGCCTATGCCGGCTTATGAGGGATTGCTTTTAATTTAGTTTTGGAACACTCCAGTTGGGACATGTCTGTATGCATTATATTACATCTGTAAAGACTCCCCCTGCCTTTGCAGAATCAGAGATTTGTTCCTGGAAGTTGGCCACAGGCCTCGTCTGAAGGAGCTGACTTTTCAGCCTGTACCATAAATCCTTGGCAAGAGCCTGCCACAAACTTTAAAATAGGTTCATTCTCTAAAAACAAAGCCAGAAGGTCCTTTCTCATATGATGTTTGTGTAAATCATTTCAGCAGTAGAGGTTTTTTAAAAAATATATTTTACATAATGTACGGTAAAAATATGAAAGACTTAGACTAGAATTATAACCGTGGGAAGCTCAATATGGGCGTCAAAGGAATGAAAAGAGGGAAAAAGGCAGTTTGTAGTGATTGCACTGAGGGATTCCAGAACCCCCGAAAGATAATCAGGCTCTGATACAGTTAGAGGCCCCTCCTGAGTGTTAGAATAATACAAATAATAATAAGATTAGAGATTTCCTGGTATTTTACCCATTCACTGTGAACAGTAACTACATTATTTTAGGGTAATAGTTTGCATTCAAGAAATGCCTCAATTTAGCACTGTCTCCTACATGTTTTTGGTCAATCTAGAAATATGCTGAAATCTCATTCCTTTTTCCAGATGTTTTGACTTTCCAATGGCGGTTACATTGGAAAGTGGGAAGAGGAAAAGCTTTCTGGAGATTGCGGTAAGTGAGTGAAACTTTAGATGCTGGAGGACTCATAAGGTGGTCTAGAAATTAAGGAGGCCTTGCCAATGAATGGGGGAAAAACCGAGTTCTGCTTAATTTAATATACCGTACTCTTCTCAATTATTGTATATATGACAGGGAAGCCAACTCTGCAAAAATGTGCCTTTTCAACTGTTCCAAAATGCTCAGATTAGGGCTTTGTTTAAGCAATTCCTCTGCAATAGAGCAAATGCAGACAAGAAGTGTCTTAACCCTAGAAGTGGATCCTAATATTAAATACAGGCAGTCCCCGAGTTACGTGGATCCTACTTATGTTGGATCTGCACTTACGAATGGGGCTCTCTCGCCCCGGAGCTCGCAGGCAGCGGGACCGCCCAGAGCGCAGTGGTCCCGCCACCTCGACCTCCGGGGCGAGAAAAGCTGCTCCGGGTGCCCCTGGTCTGCTGGGGACCGTCTCCAGCAGACCAGGGACACCTGGAGCAAAGCCGGGGAGGCGGAGGGGTCCCGCGCGTCTGAGGCTTTGCTCTGGCAAAGCCTCAGAGGCGCGGGACTCCGCCGCTGCTGCGGCTTTGCTCCCGGTGTCCCTGGTCTGCTGGGGAGGGGCTCCAGCAGACCAGGGGCAACGGGAGCAAAACCACAGCCCCCGCGCCTCTGAGGCTTTGCCAGAGCAAAGCCTCAGAGGCGCGGCACCCCGCCGCCGTTGCGGATTTGCTCCCCGTGTCCTTGGTCTGCTGAGGGGGGGCCGCAGCTAGTGCGCCCCCCCCAGCAGACCAGGCTTTTGTTGTGGACCCTGGGGTAGAGCAGCTGGGGTGCTGCCGGGTTGGTCCTGCAGGGACCTACGGGGCCGCCCAGCTGTTCTGTCCCAGGCTCGAGATTCAGCCGCTGTTGAAACTGATCAGTGGCTGATTCCAGGAAGCTGAGGGCAGAGCAATTCTGCCTCCAGCTTCCTGTAGTCAGCCCCTGGTCAGTTTCAGCAGCAGCTGCTGAATCTGGAGCCAGTTCCGACTTACATACAAATTCAACTTAAGAACAAACCTATAGTCCCTATCTTGCACGTAACCCGGGGACTGCCTGTAACCACTTTCTCCAGCAACACATTTTTCCCTTCAACACTACACACATTCTAGTCTTTATGCAAAGATGTATGGGAAGGTTGTATCACTTGACAGCATATAGAAGAAACTCAATTTGTATTTATGGTACTGTGAATTACTAAATGTTATGACTTAGTGAATGAATAAACACAATAAAGAAAATCAAGAATGCTGCATAAGAAGAGATTTTTAAATTATTTTGACAACTATTTTTATGACACTACTGAAAAATGAATCAAACTATAGAAATAAACTATGAAGTTGTATTACCTAAACATCATTGTTTCCTATAAGATCCAACTGGAATGCTCTTTTATTCAGTCTTCGTTGGGATATAAAGAAAACCACCATTTTTGAAGTGGATTATGCTGTATATAAATTAACAACATGCAGATTAGCAGGATTCTACCATACTTGTTTTTGCGCACACAACATTCCTTGCAGTGTTAGAGGGTTTTGAAAGATAAGAAATGACGTAAGCCAATAATTCCAAAAAGAAAAACAGAACAATTTTACAGATTTTCTGCAGTAATTAAATGTACAAGCAAGATATTATAGTCTAATGACGAGACCTTAGCCAGCTGGGTACCCACGTTTGACATTACAAAAAGGATAAAAAAGTCAGACAGAACAGATCAGAGACATCTATAATTAGTGTGGGTTGTAGCATACACCATATTCATCTTATGCATGTAAAAGTGTGTTTTAGTTCTGCGGTCTGAGCTTATAGAAGAGTACTAAAGCAACATTGTAGCATCACTGTAAGCACTCCAAATTTAAAGTGAAGTAACAATTTAGAAGTAACCCCAAAATCATACTTTTCAAAAACGCTGTTACAGTTCAGAGGTGAAGCTAGACCTTTGAGGCTACATCTACACTGCGGAGCTGTTTTGGGATACCTCCGGTATCCTGAAATAGCTATTCCACATCTTAAGAGCAAGCCTGTTATATCAAAATATAACAGTCTCACTATTCAACATCCCTGTAACTCTCATTATATGAGGGTTAAGGGATGTTTCAGAATAGCGCTTTATTTTGAAATTTGGTGCTGTGTAGATAGCGCCAAATTGCGAAATAAGCTCTATCAGAATAAGATCGAAATAAGCTTATTTTGAGGTAAGGGTGCTGTGTGCATGGTTCCTCTCAGCACCTTCTCCAAGTGACAGGCTTCTCTCAAGGTGGAATCCCATCATTCATCCCACTTTCATACTGTATTTACCAACCACATCACCAGCAGTTTGGACCCCTGCTATCAGGAGCTAGGAAGCACCATTAAAAGTCTGTGTGGAAGAGGGCATAAATTTGCACACCCCTGCTTGACCCTCCTCTTCCTCTCTCAGCTCCCATACCACACAACCTGAGCCTATGAGCCCATACACTCAACCCCTTCAAATCTGAGTGTAGGGTTGCGGCCTAGTGCTGTTAAGAAACAGTTACAGTTCTCAAAATGGCCAAGAGGGAAGCACGTGGGCTCTACACTCACATGGCCTCAGACCAGGCAAGCGCTATTGCAGGCATTTAGAAAAAGCGGACAAAACCAACACTTTGTGCGACATCCTGGAGACATTAGAGTCAATGGGAATTTTTCCACCAACTTCAGTTGGGGCCAGGGTTTCATCCTTCACATTTTCACAATAACCTTTCAACCGACACTCAGCAAGCTGTCCCAAAGCACAACAAAATAAAGCTCCCAATCACATTTTTCTCCCCACAGTACATCAGTAGTATACAGGGATAGGAGATTATTCCTTTAAATATTTTGTAAGCCAACTTGTAATGGTCCCCTGTGTTCTGTGTTTCAAAAAACAGCTAGATCAGAGCTGTGTATATGCAGGTTGGCCTTGCATGTGGGGAATATGTAGTAAATGTATCTAGTCCCCTCATTAGCCAGATGGTTTCTGTATTTTGTTTGCTGCATAAAAAACATTTACTTCCACTGCTTCAATCCATATCTTCATCCATGCTGACCACTTCCCCCAACCACAGCAAACTTTCTACCTTCCTTCACACTTACTTCCATGCCTTTTTTCACTGCTACTGCTACAGGAGGATATTTCAGTTCATGTACTAGTGCTGAATGGAAGACAACATTTTTACCTGAAAGAGAGATCAAAACTAATCAACAGATTTAAATGCAAAAGGCCACTTTATTACTATTTCTTTGAGGGAGTCAGAAAGCAGACTTTGACCCCCCTCAGAGAACTGATGGGCAGGATTCCCTGGGATTCTTACATGAAGGGGAAAGGAGTCCAGGAGAGCTGGCAGTATTTTAAAGAAGCCTTATTAAAGGCACAGGAAGAAACCATCCCAATGCGCAGCAAGTAAAGCAAATATGGTAGGCGACCAGATTGGCTTACTGGGGACATCCATGGTGAGCTTAAACACAAAAAGGAAGCTTACAAGAAGTGGAAACTTGGACAGATGACTAGGGAGGAGCATAAATATATTGCTCTAGAATACAGAGGAGTTATCAGGAAGGTGAAAGCACAATTGGAATTGCAGCTGGCAAGATATTTGAAGCGTAACAAGAAAAGTTTCTACAGGCATATCAGCAATAAGAAGGTGATCAGAGAGGGTGTGGGGCCCTTACTGGATGAGGGAGGTAACCTAGTGACAGATGATGTGGGAAAAGCTGAAGTACTCAATGTCGGCATTGACAAGGTCGGCTCCCAGACGAATGCACTATGCAACACAGTATAGGAAGGAGGTGACCAGCCCTTGGTGGGGAAAGAACAAGTTAGGAACTATTTAGAAAAGATAAACTTACACAAATCCATGGTCCCGGATTTAATGCATTCAAGGGTACTTAGGGAGTTGGCAAATGTTATTGCGGAGCTTTTGGCCATTATCTTTGAAAACTTATGGGCTGTGTCTAGATTGGCACCCCTTTCCGGAAAAGGGATGCTAATGAGACCAGTCGGAATTGCAAATGCTGCGGGGGATTTAAATATCCCCTGCAGCATTTGCATGAACATGGCTGCTGCTTTTTTCCAGCTTGGGGTTTTGCCGGAGAAAAGTGCCAGTCTAGATGGGATCTTGCGGAAAATAAGCCCTTTTCCGGAAGATCCCTTATTCCTATTTTCAAGTAGGATATTTAAATCCCCTGCGGAATTTGCAATTCCGAAGTGTCTCATTAGCATCCCTTTTCCGGAAAGGGGTGCCAATGTAGACACAGCCATGGAGATCGGGAGAGATCCCAGATGACTGGAAAAAGGCAAATGTAGGCCCATCTTTAAAAAAGGGAAGAAGGACAATCCAGGGAACTACAGACCAGTCAGCCTTATCTCAGTCCCTGGAAAAATCATGGAGGGGATCCTCAAGGAATCCATTTTGAAGCACTTGGAAGAGGGGAAAGTGATCAGGAATAGTCAACATGGATTCACCAAAGGCAAGTTCTTTCAAAGATCTATCATGGTATCTGTATTCTACATTCACTTCATATGCAATTGCATATCTAATTTGTGCAGGTAATTATTATGACTATGTGCAAGTGGGGCATTTACACATGTTCATGACCAGCTACTGCCATCATGCACGCAAATCCTCAGTGAGATGACTGTGTGCATATATTTGATCTGCAATTGCATGCACATTTTTTACATTTGGACACATACAGTTGAACCCAATGTTTTTGCTGGAGAAGAAAGAAGACATGATTTGTATTACTTTTTGTTAAACCATACGCGCGCGCACACACACACAAATCTGGAGATTAGAATTTTAAATGTTTTAAGAGTTTCAAGACAACATCTAGTTCAGTATCCATTTCATGACAGTCACTGACTTGTTCTAATAAGCAGATCCTCTTAAGCAATACTAACAGCGTGAAGGAAGAGAGCACTATCAATGTTATGGTCAGTTGAAAACAAAATAGGGTCTGATCTGGCAGGAGATGTTCAGCAAGAGAAATGAGTTCTTAGTGAGCCAAAACAAATCTCAAAGAACAATAATTCCACGTCCTCCATATTAAACAAACATTCCACACAGTTTATCGACTTCTATTATGTTGGTGTCCAGATTCTAAATTAAATCCTATATTTTATAGGAAACTGGAGGTCAGAAAAGATCCTTCCAAAGCAATAGACATCTCTTGGCCTCTGCATGACTTGCTGGACCACCCAAAATCTTTATTGCGTGCTGTGGGCATGCTTCCAAAAGACCAAACGATCAACCACAATAACCATGTCAAATGCAATTAAAAAAACAAAAAACTTTGTTCTGAGTACACACTTCCAAAAATAAAAAAGGTACTCTTAGGTCAAAGAAGCAAGGTGAAATCTCCATAGTGTTTTACTGAGGGACTTCTCTGCTATTTTCACCAACATATTGGTGCACTTATGACCAAACTGTGATGATCTTTCTTTGACTGTTCTAGATGTGTAATTGGCTCAGAGAAGCTTCTTCCTCCATCTTTGCAACCAAACAGAAGTTAGGTGCCATGCTAGTTGTAGCCAGCATTCCAGGCTCCCATCTGAACATCAGTGACAGAAAAGTATGTGCTGAACCATTCTTAAAGGAATAGGCTGAGATTTCTAACGCAGCGTAAGGGAGCTAAGCCCCCATCTCCCACCAGAATTCAATGAGATTTGAGAAAGTGGGGAAGATAAGTAACATAGCTCTTCCTCCTATGCTAAAAGCAGAGCGATAACTCCTCCTTCTTTTCTTGGCTTGGCTTGTTTCAGTCACAGTGTTGCCAACCCAGCACTCATAATGATAACACAGGACTTGGGATATCTGGCATTTTTCTTAAAGCCCCAGTTCCAGGAATCATGTGATTAAGTGAGACTTTTTTATGCTAACAAAAACCAAGTCTTAACTCTCTTGGCTGCAGAGACAAACTTAAAAACCATGAACCCCAAAAGTCACTGTGAAAAAAAAAAGAATCCAGAATGTATTGTTTTAATAATCTCATGATTTCTAAGTCAATCTCCTGAATTATGAGCATTTCCAGCTGGTAATACTGTTAATCATTTTTACAGAGTGCATTTCCATCTCCCCCTACTGCATTAGCGGTATCACAGATACCATGCATAATCAGCCCAGTCAGCCTTAGCCATCACAACTGCAAAGCCTCAACATGTATCTCCAGAATTTAACCATTTGCTGGGCATTTAACATCTCAAGTTCCCTGCTTCTTGATATCCCCTTTTATTCCTCCTCTCAGCTCCTGCTTCTCTCCCTTACATGTGAGCATGATTATGCTCTCCAGACACAGAAAGCCAGGTGTCCTGTTGAGTCAGATTGGATTTTGCTTTAGAGTTATGGAAAAGAAATCAGGGAAACATCCAAGTCTCCATGAGGAAGAGAGCAGACAGTTTATGTCTCACTGTGGCCACATCTGTGTTGAACTGTCCCCAGTAGTCAAGGGGAGAGAGAGAGAGAGAGAGACACACACACACACACACACACCCCTACCAATTATATGGTAACATGCACCACAATAATTAATACTTAAGTGGGGACAGAACAACAGAACACATACAGAGTAAGATATCATCCTTGCCCCAGGCAGCACAGAATTTAAACAGACAAGTTGAGTGCTGTAATCTTTTTTACTGGACCAACATTGTTGGAGCGACAGACAAGCTTTTCCTCAGGTCTAGGAAAGGAAAGGCCTGGGCTCAGGCCAGGTCTGCAGTAGGAAGTTAGGCTAGTGTAACTACATTGCTGAGGGATGTGAAAAGCCACATCCCTAAGTGATGCAGTTAAACCAATCTACTCCCCGTGATGTAGACAGGACTACATTGGCGACAGTTCTCCCATCTACCTAGCTATCAGCTTTTGGGGAACTAGAGTACCAATGCTGATGCGAGAGCATAGATAGCGTCTTCACTGAAGCACTGTGTAGACAAGCCCGCAGAGCATCACAGCTAAATACAAGGTGGAAAGATTTGTGTATATCCTAAAAAGACCATTCAAGATGAAGTGAAGGCAGGATAAGGGATGACCTGAAGGTAGGGAGGTAGGATGGAATCTGGAGTGGCCTAGGGAATAGAGCATTTGCCTGGGGAGTGCATGGAAGTGGGTGCAAGTCCTATCCCCCCCCCCAACACCAGCCTCCCCAGGGATGGAGAGGGCAAATGCCCACACTTGCAACTGACTAATATTTTGTCATTTCCCTTTGATCTCATTTTAAAAATGATTTTGTCTCATCACTGTTTTTATGTGTACGTAACTCCTGTTGCAAAAAGGGGAGCTGAATAGATCACTTAAGTTATGTTGCAAGTGCTATACTAGGGCGGGGAAGAGGTTCCATATCAGTCTGCGGTTGGTAACTCTTATATCAAACATCTTCCAATTAGAAGTCAAGAGATGATTTTTTTGTAATTCCAATGCCTGAAAAAACAAAACAAAACAACAAAAAACAGCAGGACTCCAGTAATCAGGCTGTTCTGCTTGTGTTTTACCTCATCAGCAGCAATATACATTCTGCAGTCAGACCATAGCTGACAATTGCCCATTCTTTCATAGGTACAATGGGCCCACTGCATTAACAGGAGTAAAATCTATTTGGTCACAACAGGAACCAGATATGACTGTAAAGTTGCATCTACACAGCACCTTAAACTTAAAATAAGATATGCAATTTGCGCTATGCAAATCTATTTCGAAATAGCAGTGCCAAATTCCAAAATAACGTGCTATTTCGAGCTCTCCCTCAGCACGTTATTTTGGAATTTGGCACTGCTATTTCGAGCTCTCCCTTAACCTTCGTGCAATGGGGTTTATCAGGATGGTGAAATAGCACGCCTGTTATTTCAAAAAGTATTTTGAAACAACAGGTGGCTTGTGTAGACATGAGGTAGCTATTTTGGGATACCTCAGGTATCCCAAAATAGCTGTGCAGTGTAGACGTACCCTAAGACATTCAGGGGAAAGATGAGCAGAATACGAAAAGGGATATTTTTCCATGGCCTTTTGCTTAATCATAACCACTCTTCAATTCTGATCCTCATGACCAGCCAAGAGAAAAGTTGATCCCACAAAAAGCCAGTCTCTTCCAAGTGGTAACTTCGGTCCATCCTAATACCATGTGTTCCTGTGTCCCTAAGACAGAACCAATATCCTGCTGGTTTCTTTCCTGCCCATTACTGTGCTTTTATATAATTTGATTAAGAAATTATGCTTCTTAAAGGCTTTTTTTACTTTGATTTAAATCAGTGGTAGCCAAAATCTTTGGTATCATGCCCCCCTTTTTAATTTTTGAAAAACCCTCACATCCCTCCCCCCCCATAGCAAAACTTGTTGAGCAAAAAAAATAAATAAATAATAATAAAAAGGAACTGAGCGGGATAGAGAAACTTGATGGGGCGGGGGAGGGAGGCTGGGTCGCCTTGAACCCCCCCCTGGAATTTCTTCATGCCCCCAGTTTGGGAACCCATGATTTAAATAGTCCAAATAGAAGGGGTTACTTATCGGTTTGTGGGTTATGAGCTTGTCTAATAGACCAACATGATCACCAATACCCAGACACTCCAAGAAGGAGGCTGTGCAACAGGCAGACAAAGAACACAAATACCCTGGAGTCAACAAGCAGAAGTCTTTAGACAGTTCTTGTTATCTTAACATAGGATTTTGCACACAAGGCATTCTATAAAAGCCCTGAGGTGCTCTTTTAAACAACTTTACAGAATATAACAAATAAAGCGCCAAATGCTTGGCGCTAACTTGAAAGACTTGGGCTTATGGTGCATGTGTATAAAAATATCAGAGAGTCTATAAAATATTGATGATAGGGGAACCCCAAAAGATCTGATGAGCTGGGCCAGATGCTTTCCTGAAGCTTATCTAAATTGCCATACCTAGATCAGGCTATTGCATGAGATTACTGGTTTCAGATGAGCTAGAACCATCACAAAAGACTCCTCTTAAAAATGTCTTGTCCCAGCCAAAAGCATAGGCACAAGAAAATAACTAAAAAAGGGGAAACCAAATATTTTCAACACCCATGAGACTTTGGGGCCAGGACAGATGAAGTATTTGTTCTTATTTTACCTAACGTGATTGGCTCAGCCTTGTTTTAACTGTGTTGGCCCCAATCCTGCTCCCACTGAAAACATGACACTTATCAACTTAATGGGAGTAGGATCAAATCCATGGTGCAAAAATACTGGGGTACATTATCAATGAAAGTATGTTAAAAGATTGGGAGTACACAAGAATACCCCCACTCTTGTATGACTGAATTCACACAAAGATATCACAAACAAACACACTATTTACACAAAGTCAATGTGTTAAGTTAATTTGCAATAAAGAACTCTTGTTCTGCAATAAGAGTGTCTACACATGAAGTTAATCAGGAATAACTAGCTGGCAATAATGCCTCATTTAGAAAAGCACTTAAAAGTTGTGAAGAACACAAACATTTGTGCTTTGGAAGAACCCAATTATATAGCAAACTGGCCAGCAAAGCTCCTCGGGAGGCAATTTTGGAAGGCTTTGTTACCTTCGTCTAGCCTTTTGTATCAGGAGACTTGGGATGTTTTTAATGTTAAAAATTATAGTTGGCCAGTTTTATGTAAGAACCCAATTATATAGCAAACTGGCCTGCAAAGCTCCTCGGGAGGCAATTCTGGAAGGCTTTGTTACAAAAGGCTAGACGAAGGTATCAGGAGACTTGGGATGTTTTTAATGTTAAAAATTATAGTTGGCCAGTTTTATGTGGTAACTGTTACCATATGTCTTACAAAAAGAAAAAAAAGTTGCCATCTGGACATATAGTAAGTCTGTGCAGGAAGCCTCCATGCCCACTTTTCTACAGTATAATTTGATTTGCATTTCTGTCTTTCATGCAGATCATATCACAAAGCAGAGAGAGTGAAATTCAGAGAAAACAGCAAGGGAGAAGAGACAAGGAGCATTAAGGAGGCACAGAGGTATAGCAAGCCAAATGGAAAGACATTGTTCCAAGAAAATCAGTGGAACATCACAAATGACTCAACTTCTTTGTTCTATGATTATTACAAGCCAATCACATGCAACGACTCTGCCCTCTCTCCCGAGCTACTGTTTAGAGACACTCTTTGGATTATTACAAGCCAATCACATGCAACGGTTCTGCCTTCTCTCCCGAGCTACTGTTTAGAGAGACTCTTTCCTGACTTGGGCTTTGCTCCACACACTTTGAGCTTGTCTGCTCTAAATGTTTATTCCTGAATATTTTCTCCCACTCCTCTGGCCAGTGCCATTCCACTAAGGGCGGCCACAAGAAAAACCTTAGTGGTCAGAAGGTATTGGAAGCCACTTAGATGCTGACTATTATGTCACTGAGTCCCCCTCTAAGCCAGCTTAGGTGGTCCTGTGCCAACCACAAGCCATCAAATATAATGTGATCCCCTTAAAAATCAGGGTATTTAAAAAAAAAAAAGTGTGTGGTTCTCCATATTTGCCTTCTTGTTTATGATCGTTTAGCTGGTCAGATTTTCAAGCTCTCTCTACAACCCTGAAAGCTGGAAACTTAAGTATCCCCACTTTTTTCTTTTTCTTTATTTTGTAAGTAATCACAAGACTCCATGAGCCAGGACTTTACTGGTGTTGAGCTGTTTGGTGGTTGTTAATCTGCATTCTCATGGGAAATGCTACATCTGGGGTAGCAACCGTTGACATATAGAAGCAGGAAAAAAAAAAGACAAACCTGGCGACAGCCTTCCAGGGCTGGATTCCTGCAAGCCCCAATACTGAGAACTGGAAAAAGGACTCCAAGTAAGCCGGCAACCTTGGGCGAAAAAGGACTCCAAGTAAGCCGGCAACCTTAGGCCACCAGGTAAGCATGGGGGCTGGGATCGAGGGGTTGGGGGTGTTGGGAGCTGGGAGGCCGGGTGCTGAGTTCTTGTAGGGTTGCCAGGTGCCCGGCATTTTCGCCTCCTGGCTGGGGAAAGATTCAGAAAATACTGGACATTTTAGGTGTCCGGTATTCTCTGAATTTTTTTACCAGACAAGAGCCAAAAATACTGGACTGTCCGGGTGAATACTGGACACCTGGCAACCCTAGACACACTTGACATTCCATCACAATCTACATTCCATCTTATTTAGAAAATACCGGACATTTCTATTTTCTCAATTTGCTTCCCGCACAGAAAGCTCAAATACTGCAGCATCTTCTATTTTCTCAATTTGTTTCCCGCACAGAAAGCTGAAATACTGCAGTGTCTGGTCACAACCAGACACCTGGCAACTCTAGATGCTAGATTTGGGGCAGCACTTGCAGGAATGGGCCCCAAGATTGTACTGTAAGAAAAGCATGCTTCAATTGAAATAAACACAACAAAACATACACACTTACACTCACAGTCCTAGTAGCTGGTCTAGAAACTGTATTATACACACTGAAGGGCTGCTCTTTATCAACCACCACCCCTCTCCCACACTCTAACCTTGTAAGCCCTGTAAATTGGTGGCCCGAAAATCACATGGCTTTTCCAGGAAGTATTGGATCACAGAAAAGATATAAAAACACAACAAAATGTTTCCCCCAGCAAGGTGTACCTTACCTAGCCCCAGTTTCAGATAACACACTAGAAGGCTCCCTCTTCCTGCTCCTAGGGCAGCTTCTTCCTGGCACCCCTCCCTGCAGCAGCTTTGTGAGCCTGAGTGGCTATTAACTCCACAGTAGCATGCTATGTAGATAGCTTCAGCCATCTTGTCTCTCTCCCTGTTAACTCCTTATTGACCAGGGTCAGAGTAGGCCTCTGCATTCAGTCACAGGCCTTCCTCCAATGTATCCCCTTGCCCACCCTTCTGCATGTATTGAGGCTGGTTTGTTGTGGAAATGGTTGTTAGGTGAAACTTGCTTTGGTAAAAGGATGGGAAATGGCTGCTAGGGTTGCCTGATGGTTTAACAAAAAATACTGAACACCGCCCCCCTCCCCAAAAAAAACAAAACCACTGGAAAAAAATTCTGTTGAGAAAAAAAATGAGGGGGAGACCAAAGTTATTGATCAGAGCAAAAAGTTGTTAAGCAAAAAAAGGCGCTGCACCTTTAAATGGTCCCATGCTCCTCACTCCCTCACCCCCACCAGACACAGCAGGGGAAAATTGTCCCTGACCAGCTTCTGTCTGCAAGAAACAGGAAATACCGGACATTTCACATGTCCAGTATTTTCTGTTTTTTTTACCGGACGGGGGAACCCAAATAACGGACAGTCCAGGCGAAAACCTGGCCACCCTAGTTGGCTCTCTCACATTCTGCAAAATCAAATCAATAAAGCAAACTCTTGACGCCCTCTTTTATATTTTCTCTTTAGGAAGATGGGCAGCCTGTTTCTTACAGAGCAATAGGGACAAAGCAGCATGTGTTTTATGGACTGGTTATAAAGCATATGTGTTTTCCAGTGGCCTCACAGTTGGTTTTGTAATCTGGAGTCCTATATACCTCCTCATGACTTGCCTCTTGGCAGTCATCTATTTAAGACCTCAGTGAATGTTTCCACATTGTTCCCAGCTAGCTATCACATATCATGCTATTTCTAAATGAATACATGGCCAATCTTCCCTCACTTATGGAAAAGTCACATAGGCTGTGTCTAGACAGGCAAGTTTTCCACAAAAGCAGACGCTTTTGCGGAAAAACGTGCCAGCTGTCTACACTGGCCGCTTGATTTTGCTCAAAAGCACTGACTTTCTACTGTCTGAAATCAGTGATTCTTGCGCAAATACTATGCTGCTCCCGTTCGGGCAAAAGCCCTTTTCCGGAAATGCTTTTGCGCAAAACGGCCAGTGTAGACAGCTGAAAACTGTTTTGCGCAAAAAAGCCCCGATGGCGAAAATGGCGATCTGGGCTTTCTTGCGCAAAACTGCGTCTAGATTGGCACGGACGCTTTTCCGCAAAAAGTGCTTTTGCGGAAAAGCGTCCATGCCAATCTAGACGCTCTTTTCCGCAAATGCTTTTAACGGAAAAACTTTTCAATTAAAAGCATTTGCAGAAAATCATGCCAGTCTAGACGTAGCCATAGTGTTTAATAGAGATAATGGACTAGATTTTGCCTGCCTTACTCATGGTAAGTAATGCCACACTACGTGAATAGCCCAATTGACAACAATGAGTCGAAGCACAACAGCACTGCTCAGGGTGAAGGAAGATGGCAAAATCTGGCCCTGAAACAATTTGATTTTGATTTTGTGCTGCTTGATGGACAGAGGGTGGGATTGCCAAGGGTGACTCTGTACAGGATCATTTTTTGCTTTAAATATGAAGATATTCCAGGCCACAAATATTTTTCTCCTTCCTCCTGGTTGCAGCACTGCCCCCACCAAAGTTACCGGTTCTCTACTCTCATATTTCCCTTCAGCAAATGTACATCTAACTCCAATGCCTTTTGTAACTGCCCCAAATTCCTCCCAGACCTGTTTCCTGGAAACCAAGGATCAGCTCCAAGATTTCTTCATTCATCCTGAAGCTTGCTGCAGCCAGCACCACAGGACATATGAGTTCTCTCCAATGACACTAAGCACAAAGTGACCTCACACCTTTTCATATGCCACCCCGTTACCCGCATTGCCTTCCCTACTGCAGTCACTCTCACTCTCTGCTACAGCTTTATGGCCATGATTTCTTGCATACAAGTAGGCATGATCCTGGGATTCTTACTCAGGATACCTGTGTTTTCAAATAGCCCCATTAAAACTAATATTGGAGCATGTTAGTCCATGCATCTTATTCAATAGGTGAGGGGAAAAATGGTGCAAATCGATGAGTGAACCAGGTTGCTGCAGAGCAAATTATTTCCTTTGGTTATTCACAACGCAAGTTGTGTTAAAGACACTAGCATATCACAATTTAATATTGCATTGTGTGTCTGTGCAGCACATTTTAATGAGGATTATATTATCGGGAAGAAAATTAAGAGCACGATTGTCAAAGTGTATAGCATGCAACTACTCCCACAATATGCCACGTGATGCTTTGTGCCTAATGGGCGCGTGTGCATATAGCAGGACTGCAGATGTATTCAGGGGATATGCATATGCAAATGACCAGTTAGACACTTTGATGTATGCATGTCCCCAGTTTGCATATGCAACTGTGCTCCCAAATTAGGTGTAGAATTGGGTATGAATTTTGTGCACAGTTATGTTTTTAATCATTTGAAAACCAGACTCCAAAGATCATTGCGCGACTCATAGAGGTAAAGATGGAAAATCCCTTACAGTACCTATGAACTAGAACAGTGAGGGGCAACCTAGGCTCGTGAGTGGGCCACATGAGTGGCCTCCTTCATCTCAGTGAGATGCAATATTGTCGTAACCAAGAGGGTCTCCCGGAATAGGCAGTTTTTCTCATTGCGCTTGCATACCTAGAATTTGTGGGGTGTGCTGATTGAACCATAGCAATGCTTTGATTGGATGCAGAGGGAGTGCACAGTACTCACAGTCAATGTTGTGTGCCATTAACATGTACCTCACTTCACCTGCCCTTGCTTTAGGCGAGTGCCACTATTGTAATGCAGGTAGGAAAAAAGCTACATGGACAAAAATTAGCAGAATTTGGCAACCCCATGCATGGGCAACAGTAAAGAAAATGTCTTGTGGGCTACACGTAAAACCCCAATGGGCCGCAGGTCACCCACCGCCGGACTAGAACCTACCTCTGCTGTTTGGACTGGGAGTAGAGATTGAAGAATTACACATCACACCTCCATCATTATCCAAGCATTGCTCCCTGTGGTTTGAAGCTGGGACCAGTTTCTCCTGTTGGGGCCGAGAATAAGGGCAACCTGGGGATGGGAAGAGGGGGTGGAAAAGGGGCAATTTGCTCTGGGATCCCAAAATGACAGAGAAGGGGCTAAGCCAAATTTGAGTGAGAATCATTGCAACTTGGCTCTTGGATTGAGAGCACCACTCCTTGATAGTTCACGGAGTGACTTACACTGTCTGGCAGGGCCTAGATATCACTGTCATTGCCACTGGGCCCATGGCAACCCCCCTACAAGCCAGGAGCGGGTTCACAGGCCAGGGATCCCTCTCCCACTGGCACTGGGGCTCAGGGACAGGTGAACTGGGAATGGCCTCGCAGCTGCATGCAGGACAGATACATCTCATCTTCTTTGGCATGGCAGTGACCCCACATGCCTGGGCCCTGCTCTTCTCCCTTGTTCTTAAATGCTTTCATCTCCATGGCAATTTATTGGAAGAATGGAGGCCTCCATTTCAGATTTGGTCCCAGGCCACAGAAACCTCCATGCAGCTCTGCTAGGGATCTAGTAAGGCCTGAGTGCTCCAAGACTGCTGTGGGGCTGAACAGCACATGGCCAATTGGCCACACTGTCAATAGCTCCAGGCAACTCAATAATGATCTCTTGTCTTGAACTTCTGAGAGTTGACCCCGAGGCTCCCCTTTCTGCAGCGTGGGTCTGACAGTCTGCAGCAGCTCCAGGATGGCCTGTGAAAGATACAGGCCGAGGGAAGGCAGAGTGAGTGCTGGCGAGAGAAGCTTTCTGGGGAAGCTGAATGGATGTTTGTCAAAAAGATTTTTCAGACATCTCTGACCTTGGACTTCATTCCCCATCTGAATCCAAAACAGCCTGACTTACTTAGCCTCCTGGCTACTTGGCACAGCCCGTCTCTCCCAGCAGGGTTGTGTGGACAGTGGGGGGGCTTTGGGAAATTGGCACAGCACAGTGATCTTTATATGGACTCGGGATGCTGTTGCTGGTTTACTTTGCACTGGTTTTAGGGCACAAACACAGTGGGTGAAATCCAGGTCCCAATAAAGTCTCTGGGAGTTTATCCATTGACTTCGAGGGGATCAGGATATCACCTCATCTTCCTAAATGTTGTCAATGGTGCACAGAGAGTCATTTCCAAATGTGCTCAGCCTTAGCCTAACCCTGCTCGCCAGTGGTGTCAGTAGGAATTTGGCCATTTAACTTCGGTGGGAGCAGTGCTCACCAAGCTGAGCACCTTTGAAAACCCTCCCTCGAGAGCCAGCGCATGGACGTGCTTTGTGATTGTTTAAATCCACCTTAATACATTTTCTAATACAATGTGGGATCATTGAAATAGAGCAATGGTGCCCCCCTCCATTAATGTAAGGATACCAGTCCCTAGCTTAGCAGACTCTGCACTCAGGAATTTTTTAATAGCCAATGTCAATGTTCCCTCTCTTAACCTCTCCCTCCTATTTATATCCTCCCCGCTTTACTCTCGAAATAACTCTCCTGCCTGGTATGTGCACCCTTCAATCATGTTCTGTGTTGTCACACATGGCCTCTCCACAGTCATGCCACAGCAAAGCTTTACCTAATGCTATCATGTGCCCTCTGTAGTCAGTCCCATTCACAAATAATAGGAACTAGTCAAATGATGCAGGCAATTGGAGGCGGGGTATTGACAGCATTCAGGTGTTTGTGCTGACAGCCATGTGGGAAGGGCTTTCCGAGTGCCACCCCATTTGGCCATTTAATTTCTAGCTTTCCTGGCAGAATGCAGCATTTATTTCTTCCAAGGGCTACAGAGGTGAAAGGTCAATGAGCAACTCTGTCTTTTTAAACACTCCTACTTTAGCTGGAGATGGAGGGGGTGTTTGCTGGGATTCCTAAGAGCTGACCGTGAGGGGGGGCCTTTTCCTGAGACTGCCAGACATATGGTCTTGTAGGTCAGGAATGTTAGGTATTTGCAAAGG